GCACCCTCACTAATTTAAGAAGCACCCTCAGTGATTTGATTCTGAAACCGGGCCTGGCGAGAGAACACATTTTTGAGAGAGAACACAAATTTTTGTCAGCGAATGAAAAGTTCTGTGGGGAATGCAAAACCTTTGCGAGAGAAAAAATGGTAGTGGGCGAATGCATAGTTTTTTGGGGAAACTTTGCATTTGCATATTGTTTGAATTATTATGTGCCCTTAGGGACTCCAGAAGTACACATTTATTGTTTTCTCATTTATCGATGGACAGCTCTCCTGTCCCCATGTTGAGAGAAATCAGGAGTGAGTTCAGAGGCGTTGTGTTCGCTGTGTGAACATGATGTTACTGTAGATCTAGACTAAATGTGAACATGCATTTACTCATCTCACCTGCACAAAAACAGATTCAGTATTCCTCAAAATTAATAAAAACAATGAAATGCAAACTCAGAATATTACGCAAACCTGCAATAACACAAATATCCTTTATGTATTTAATCCCATTTTATTAACCAATGTCTTTACTGCTAGCCTTCGATAATCGAAGTCAATCATACTAATAAACAAAAATGACTTTAGATAAACATAACATTAGTGTTTGTAGTCCTGCGTCCTATTCTTCATGCAATCCAGAATGACAGCACAGCTTGAGCTGCGCCCTCTACTGTACAGATGTGAATTTACGTTTCCTTCTGCCTGAAGCTAATTAATTTCACTTTTGGTGTGAAAGGGCTTTTACGTTTGCCAAAAACAGAGCTTTTTATATTAGAAAAAAACAAGCAAGCCCAGCCCAGATGAGAAAAAGTAATGCAAAAGTAACGCATTACTTTCCATAGTAACTAAGTTACACAGTTACTTTTTTAGGGAGTAACGCAATATTGTAATGCACAGGGTTCGTACGGTCATGAAAAACCTGGAAAAGTCATGGAATTTTAAAACACCAATTTCCAGGCCTGGAAAAGTTTTGGAAAAATAAATAAACCCAGAAAGTTTTGGAAAAGTCATTGAAATCTATTTCACAAAACTCTGTAGTCATTGTTGCATCGTCAGAAAATTGTATTATTTAGTTGCACGTCTTTTTAAGCCATTCGGTACTCGCGCGCTCCAAAGGCGGTGCGCAGTCACATCCAAAGTGCGCTCGTGCGTATATAAAGCCACCTTGCCAGTACCAAATTGAGTTTGCTTCCAAATAAGCTCAGCAGAACCCTGCACGGGCCTCAAACATATGCCCTAGTCCGGCCCTTAATGCTATGATAATTTGAACAGATTTTTATTCTTATTGTAAAATAATGGAACATTTAGGTCATGAATATTGTCTCAAAAGTCATGGAAAAGTCATGGAAATGTATTGGTAAAAATGTGTACGAACCCTGAATGCATTACTTTTAAAAGTAACTTTCCCCAACACTGGGCATGTCGAGCTTATCTCAAATTGTTGAAAATAAAAATATGCTGCATCCTGCAATGCCTAATTTTGGGGAAATTGTGGCTAGTCATGCTGCTTGCTAGGTTTTGAGACAATTGTTATTTTGGCCACTTTATTATATGGCAGGAAATTATGAAAAAAACCAGACCGGGAAATGACACCAGCTGGATTTGTGTCGCTTTGTATGTGCATAACACGTTAGCATAGCCGCTAAACCATGGCTCCAACAGAGACAGCTGCAATTTTAAAGGCTTTCTTATCTGCTATAATGGGTGAACTCATTTGGTTTGTCTGTTAAATACATAAACTCTGTAGGGAACAGCTCAAGTATTAGCTCTTTGGAGGACTATTAAAAAGCGTTTTACTATCAAGAGTTGATGCTGGTGCTAAAATGCACTACCGTTCCCTCGGTCATCAATAAAACAGCACGCGCTGTCACAGTGTGTGAGTGTGTGCAGGTGTCTGTCCTGTTCTTGGCACTTGTGCTGGAATGGCAGCCAAGAATAGGCGTCTTTTATTACTGTTGGCTGCAATCACTATGTCATACATTACAAAGCCAAGGTGTGTTATTACCGGACAAGAGACATTTCAAAAAGCTATTTGGATACTTCAAAAAATGCTGCCTGTTATCTAAAAAAAAAAGTGTAATCTCTTTACTACACCATCCTTTATATGTGACCCATCACATATAAAGGATGCTGTAGTAAAGAGATTACACTTTTCCAATAAACAATTCCAAATTACAATTTTTCAAATAAAGCTCAACAAGCAATCACAATCCATTCTTCTCACAGCTGAAATAGAAAATGGTTATGTTTGGAATGGAATACTAGCAGGATGCATACTGAATACTATGCAGTATACAATATATATTTACTGTTTAAATATGTATTTGAAACAGTATGCATTGTGCAATAGGAAGCATTTTAAACTGTCACATGACCTCAAACATGTATTTAATTGAGTGAGTGACCGTTCCTAGCTAGCATGTGATTGGCCTTCATGATTGAAATGTGGTTGAATTCTGTTGTTGTTTCAATGCTGAACATTTTTTTAACAAAATACTTATAAATCAGCATTGAAATTTTAAGTCATAAAATGTTTTTAAAACATAATGTCATGTCACGCAAAGTTGTGAAATTGAAACATAATTGACGTTGATTCCACGTGTGAATAAATGTTGAAACATTACAAAATGTTGAAATGGTTAAATGGTTATAAAAAATTATCAAAATACATATACGTCAACATTGAAACAACATTGCAGTATCGCCGTTAATTCAACATTGATTGAACCTTGATTCATGATGTTGATTCACCTGTGAACAAGCATTGAAATGCTAAAAAAGATTGAAACGTTTACTGCTAAATAATTGTAAAAAGATGAACAAAATTCTTATAAATTAAAATTTTAACAAGACAATGTAAAAGTGAGAAACAATATCGGTGTTAAAAATTCAACAGTGATTCATGATGTTGATTCGCACGTGAAATGAAATTACACTTTTTTTTTTTATCATGTCAGAACTAAATATTTAATTAGGTTTTGTGTAAACAATTTACTTTGGTAAGCCCAATCAAATGAAGAAAGAAAAAATATAGTTGATCTTGGTTTACATGTATTTGTCACACTTGAAAAAGAAGGTTGAGCACATTGCATTGTGGGATTCAGTATTACATGCAGTGTATTTTGTTATATATACTGCACAGTTTGGCAAAGTTTGTGTTCACATACAATGCACAGTATGTGTACTACAGAAATAGTATGCTAGTATGCTATTCCAAACACAGCCTTAAATCGTTTTCAGATATAATTACTCAACTCTCCCATAGTTTTAATCAATACTCTAAAACCTGATCTTTTCCTGGCTTGTACATTTTATCAAGGACAACATGCCATTATATGTCCAAATGCTCAATAGACAAATCCATTAAGGCTCTTTCTTACTGTACTCATCCCTATATAAAGCTTCAGTGGTTCAGCTACACTGCATTGCGATTCAGCCATACATGATTACACAGCACTTCTCCGGTCTCCTATTACATGGAATCAGCAGCAGTGCTTCAGGCTTAATGTGCTAAGAGAAATGTACTGCAGAGGTCACGCTTGTGTGTGTACATGTCTTTTTATGATGCTTTAGGCGAGTCTTTTAAAGTGTTATTTATGTATTTGTGCCTTCAGCCCCACAGATGCAGCTGCAGACGGGGATATCAGGTGTGTATCACTAACTCACACACACACACACTGCACAAAACCTGATTCACTAGTTCAAATAGAGCTGTTTTTAAAGCAGTTTCTTAATACTAATCAGAAAGGTTCATTCATACCATAAGACAGTGACACTGTCTGACATCAGATACCCTTTGTTAGAGCACACAGTAAACTTTAAAGAAACAGTACACTAAAAATGATTATTTTGTCATTCATGTGTCACCCTCATTCATGTCTTTCCAAAGCTGTTTGGTTTTTAAACTTTTTTTAGAATTGCAATTGTAAACCTGATAATGCTAAACATTCCAAGTATACAATGTATTTATCATTAACTACAATTAAAACTGAAATGAAAATAAAGCAAAATTAAAATAATTAAAATAGACATGACATCAAATACTGTGCTACTGTGCCTTTAAGACTTTTATATGCAAATAATATCTGATTTGATTGGCTAATTTTTGCCTACCAGCGTATTTTGGACTATTATCATCTTATTCTAAGTTTTGTCCTAACTAACTGTGATTGCAATGCTATTGTGTAGCCCCACACACGAAGAAATCTCATCGGTCAACAGACCGTATAGTATTGCTGTATATTGACTGGAAGATCAAGTTATATATAAATATATATAGCCATATATAAGTTTTATACATGATCAAGTTTTACTTATATATACATAACAACAATACGTAACAATAGACAATCAACATGACAAAATTCCTTAAACTAAAATTAAAACCAAAAAAATAAAAGTAAAAGCTAATTCATTTTTTTTAAATAATGCTATAATACCGTATTGGCCCGAATATAAGACGACCGCGTTTTTTCAGATGTATTTCCAAGAAAAAAACATTGTCTTATATTCGGGTCAATACGGTAATATATAAATAATACTGAAATAACACTGTAATCCCCACAACAGTTCATAGTGACCACATCTGTTCCAATAAGGGAAAAAAAGACTTAAAAGTCACATAAAAGTGATGACTCGTGCATATATTTAAGCTTTCTGTAAGAAAAACTTAAGATGTTATTTACTAAGATGTACTTAAAATGTTATTTACTAAAAATATCTTCCCCTCCGTTTTAACTCTCAAATTAAAAACGGCGCAGGTTGGATTTGACTTGAAATCCAAGAGAGTTTATAAACAACAACATTCAGATTCAGAACGACATGAGGGTAAGCAAATGGTGACATAATTATAATTTTTTGTGTACTGTTCCTGTAAAAAATAATTTTCAGTGTAGGTCAGATAAAAAAAAAAAAAAGCTTGAACAAGCCTTTCTTTTATATTTAAGAGCAACATGGTGTTGTGAAGGGGGTCACTGATGTTATGGCAACCCCTCTGACAGGAAAAGAGGTGCTGTGGCATACGCTTCCCAGAAGCCCTGGCTCCTAAACACCACGCTAGCGGAGAACATCACTTTTGAGATGCCCTTAATAAAGCAAAGGTAACTGACCTTCATTTACCTTCTGTAGATATATTTATCATTGATTGCTCACTCCATGGATTTGTTGTCCACACATTTATATTAAAATAAATAAATAAATAATAAAATAAAATGCCACCAAATGGCATCTAGGTCCATCGTTTGTCTCTAATGGGCCTTCTGTACACATTAACCTGTGTCTAGCACCCAGTCGCCCTAGTGATGTACAAAAGTCAAGTGTCCATTTGTCAATACTAAAGCGTCCTCTATCCCCATCTGACATTCAATCATTATCGCCTCTTTAAATTTCAGTGACAGTCATTAGACAGATGTGGCCATCAGTAAGTGCCTCAGCAGTTGGCACGTGTCAGCAGTGTCTGTACTCAAAGTACATGAATTGTGGGAAAAAATCTAAAAGGAGCTATTTATTTGCTTAGAGATGCTTATAAAGTTGTGATTAATGTAATTTGCAGTGGTTCATGGGATTGTAGTTCTTTCCCTCATTAAACCTGTGATGTACACAGTCTTGTATTTCTGTATTTTTGTCTCATTTTCAAATACTTTGTAATGTTATGATTCACCTCGTAGCTGCTTGGCTTGGTTCATGGCTTATAAAACTTTAACAAAGATTTTTTTTTTTTTTAATCCCTATGGGAGAAATTAATGGAAAAAATACTTCCAGAACCAATGCTGCTGAAAAAGGGGGCGGGCACTAATGCACTCTATTGGGTAGATCCGCCCACAAAGAAATCTCATTGGTCAGTGGTCCCATTTAGTATCGCTGTATGTTAAACATCACAAATGGTCTGATTGGCTGTGATTGTGTCGTGTATATTTTCACATTATTGTTGACAGACACATTTCTTAAAACTGTGATAGTGTCAACAAATGATCTGAGTGGAATTTGGATGGGAAATTAAAATTTTTGGACTATGGCCTCTTTCCCAAATGGCTTACTTTCAGTGGCTTTGTGAATGTTTGTCTGTAATTTTTATATTGATTGAAAGCGTTAATGCTTCAAAAAGCTATTATATCAGTGACGGAGTCCATGCAGAGAATCATTCATTCATTATCGATCACCGATTTTATTGAACATCAATTAGTGCTGTCAAAATGAACACATGCGATTTTATAGTTTAATGCGTTAAAAATATTTAACACAAGTAACGCAGGGGCAGAGCAAGGTTTGCCACCCCACTCACAACTGCTGCTTCTGTCTCTCTTTTTTTTTTGTTGACAAGAGTTGCATTTATTTAGACGCAGAACGTCTTTACGACCACATCAAAGGGAGACTTTTCAGATGCGCACTCCAACTTCGTCTAGTCAAACGAGCATGGAAAAGCTACAGGTGACGAGAGAGCTTCAGTAGAACAACAGTGAACTGTGATCAGATGATATGTTGTCAGGCCATATGTCAGTAAAAACAAATTGTCCTGTCCTGTCCGCTGTTATACTGTGCTTGTAGCATGTGCTGTTCAATTGCACGCACAAATGTGGCAGCGTGCGCTGTAGCCTGTATCATTTCATATTAAAGCACAAAAGAAACTACGAGCATGCAATGTTGTAGTTATTTTGTCATGTCTTATGTCATGAAGTTACCAAAAAGGCTGTTAACTGTTCATGCATGTAAGTATTTGTTATATATGAGTCACATTTAAGAACATGTCTAACATTTATTATAATGGGTTTATGTGAAGATGTTTTAAGTTCACTTAAATTAGAAGTTGCTATTTTTTTTAAAGTCTAATAAATGTTAAAATTGATAGCTCTCAATTATACTGTAATGTTGAATGGTTATAGTCAATGGTTAAATATTAGGGGGGCAAAAAATTCCTAGAGACATCAGTAGTATTGGTATCAGTGATACTCGCCTTCAGTCATAAAAAGATGCCATTAAACAAATATTTAAAAATATACTGTCTTTGTTGTTTCTACATTAATTTGAATGTGAATTTATTGCAATATAAAAGTATGTTTAAAAACTTTAATGATAGATGGGATTAATTTTCAGAAAAAAAATTTGTGATTAATTAGTTATTTTATTTAATCGATTGGCAGCACTAACATCAATATTTCAAAAAGTAATAAAGCTAGATTACCACATAGTGTTAAGTGTCTAGCCAGCTGTGCTTCAGTCTCATACCTTTTGTTGTTTCCAGGTACAGAGCGGTAATTGAAGCATGTTCTCTCCAGCCGGACATTGACATCCTGCCCCAGGGGGACCAGACGGAGATCGGAGAGCGGGTCAGTGTGCCGCCCATGTGACTTTTGTGACGCATTTCATTACCAGCCATCTGGAATGGCTTTAGTACTGCAAATGACAAAGTTTCAGTTATGATGGGTCATATTGAATTCCACTGATAAACATACATATTTCCTCATATTTTAGTATCCAGGCAGCCTTTAACAGGGAACCGTCTCTTTTGTTTACTCTCATTCATTCAGGTTTTTAGTTCAGGTCACATTTAAGGCAGCCTGATGTCGTAAATGGCTTTCAGGTTGTTCCTAAAAGCAGCCTTCCACCTCATTTAAAGAGTTTCAGCCCAGTCAACATGATTAATCCACATGCCATATGTGTGGTACAGTTACCATAACAACTTCTACCCCCTGCCACCTTCCTAGTGAGGTCTTTTCTCAATACAGCCCTGCCGGTAACTTTCCTCTTCCTATTCTTTGCTCTTTCCAGGGCATTATTCTTTCCGGAGGCCAGAGGCAGCGAATCGGTGTCGCTCGAGCTCTTTATCAAACCACCAATGTGGTGTTCCTGGTAGGTCCAGATACGGCTATACACACAAATCAGCGAAGTGAGACTTCAATCAATTTTTTCTGTTATCGTAGGATGATCCGTTCTCAGCGCTGGACATTCACCTGAGTGATCACCTGATGCAGGAGGGTATTCTTAAACTGTTGAGGGAGGAGAAGAGGACGGTGGTGCTTGTGACACACAAACTGCAGTATCTCCCACACGCAGATTGGGTACTTCATATGCAAATACACTTAAAGTTCTCCCCTGTAGAAAGTCATTAAACCAGTTTTGATAAGTAGATCAGGTTTAAAACTGCTCTTAGGCAGAACAGCAAAGGAATTATTGAATAGGTGAGCTCTGAGATGTAGAAGCCTAATTTAAAAGTCAGATCTCACAAAGGCTGAGCTATACTTATGAATTATTCACCTTCATTCATCACCTGTCAACTACCCGCAGAACCTATAGAAATCATTTCTGAGGAGCCCTTAGAAATGATTTCTGTAGAAACGTATTTTATTTATAGCCCAATACAAGCCTGTTGCAAAGGATGAATTAATTTAGTTTCTGTCACGTTTTCACCTGCAAATCCTACTAACACAATTCATTATAAATCACATTGAGGAAAATAGACCATCTGGTCCACAGAGAAAAATCAAATTAAATCCCCATTTGGCCACTGTTTGCAATGAGAGAAATCAAACTGCAGACCAGACCAAAGCCATTCAACCTGAATAAGGCCACTGCTGGTTTAGAATCAGCAAATCATTCTCTTCTTCTACCTAACCTGATTTTGTCTCTCAGGAAACACTTATTACACTGCATCAAACACCTACATTTTAAGCTCAGTAGCAGGAAACAGTACTTAGATATGAGAACTGAGACATTACATTTTTGCATTACTTCTAATAAAAGTAACTAAATATGTTACTTTCAATTAAAGGAATGTGATTTTTTTTTAAATAAATTTTCTCACTTCCAGAATGGAAGCACTGTTTGACTTGCAGAGATTTTACTTTTAAAAGAATATTGCAGGTTTAGTACAAGTTAAACTTTTGTTGCATATGTTGATAACCACACACAAAAAAAAAACTTTCTGGAATACTTTGTGCTCACCAACATGTCACAAGTATGGTCGATTGTGATTACTATGTAAATAACCTGGGATATTCCTTTATTCAAAATAAAAAGTACCTTAGAATCTACATTAGAAGTGGATACAATTGATATCAGAATGTGAGAATTAAGCTTATTTTCATTACCTCAAGATATGTAAACATCTGAAAACATCTTTATATTGTACTCAGTAAATCAGAGTCTGGTTTAGATACGTTTACTGGAAAAGAAGACAATGTTTATTGTGGATATGTTTATTTCCTAGATGTAATTTGCCTGCAACCATTTCTTTAGTTAATTAAAAAATAAATATGCATAGTTCCAAATGCTTTGACCCAACATATCTAACCAGAGAAAGCATTTTCATGAAACTCATGAAACATATTACAATTCTCAAGTTGATTTGTTGTTGTCATCAGCCTTGTTATTAGAAACAAATGAAGCCCCAGTCTCTCTCACACTGGCTCGGGGTGATGAATTGCCTTGTTAAAGTCTTCCTTCTTCTGGTACTTAATAAATCACCAGTGGTCAGAAAATAGTTTTTTTTTAACTCCTTGTTATTTAGACAGCCACTTTAAGCTGACAGATAGAAAGGGACAGGCTTGCTGTTAAATATTGGCTTTACTTCTCATGGGGCATTAAAAATGTCCACCTTCTTTTATGTGGCAAATGAAGTAATAATTGAATGATGTTTCATCTGTAGATCATTGCAATGAAGGATGGCAGCATACAGACAGAAGGGACATTAAAGGACATCCAAAATTCTCAGCCTGAGCTGTTCGAGCAGTGGAAGACTCTGATGCACAGACAAGATAAAGAATTTGAGAAGGTAGTCTGCAGAAAATTAATGAGATACTAGAGGAAGTGATTTAAATGTCAAGTTCATTTGTTTTGCTTTGCAATGCCAAATACTCACTTGACCTTTTTGTTGACATTTGTTTGCATTGTTTGAGAGATTGGAAAACTAATCTCTATGTTTATGCTGAAAAAAAATAAGCTTGGCAATCAAGAAGACAGGATACAGTGGATACACTGAGAAGAGAAAGCATTTAAATAGGGACTTAAATAGACAAAACAGTGACTGTAATAAACTCAAGTCTCCAAACAAGTGTCTAATATGCCATCTAGTGGCCTACACAGCTGCCAGTCAGGTCGTTGAACTGTATTTTTGTGTTCAAAAATACATTTAAGCAACAGGACTTTGAACAACACTGAAATACCTCAAGGAACTGTGTTGTGCCCCTTCCTGTTCATCTTCTACATTACATATCTTACAGTATTTGGTCCTAAACTACCTGCAGATGTTCTCAGGTGACCCCTTCATTTTAGACTCAGATTTTTCAACATGTGCAGGAGGATGTAAGGATGTTCCTGCAGAACAGGTCATCTCAAGTCACGATTATTCAGTGTACCTTTTCAGAAACCCAAATACTCAGGGAAAGAATTGGAAACTAATCATAGAAACATAATATAATTATATAAAGAAAGTTACATTTGATTTATGCTGTTTAATTAGCCAAATATGCTAATCAGAATACCCTGTTATTCATTATTTTGTGTTCCAGGAGACAGTAGATCAGAATATGACAGTTCTGGAAAGAAAAAATTTGAGGCGAGCCATGTACTCTAGAGAGGCTTTGAAGACTGAGGAGGAAGAAGAAGGTAAGAGTGAATAAACATGCAGCAAAACACTAATACAAGTGTTTTAGCAGAGTTTTTATTACATGCTCATCTGATATAATAACAGATTTTTCCTGAAAGCTCCCTGCAATTAAAGAACAATAGGTTGTTGCACTGTTAACTATGCAAGCCCCTACAAGGCATCCTCATAAATCTGCATTAAAGACCTGGGTGACAAGAGAGTAGTACAACGTCTTGTTTCTTTTTGCAGTTTTTTGCTGACTGCAGCATTTAAAAAAGCCAATTATCTGATTGCTACACCCTCTGCAAGTCCTGATGCCAAGATGTTTGGATGCCCACCCTCACCACCTGTCAGGAAGCTCAGGATTCACTGACAGATGGCTGAGGTCCCTGGAGTTGGTGGAAAGCCTAGACTGAGCATTGTAATGAATCTGTAATTAAGAAATACGATCCTTCCAAGTGGAACAGGGCAACATATTGGCATCATCCAGAGGTCTCTGCCTGCAATGAGCAAATTGCAATTGGTATAGAGCAGAGGTAGCCAACCCTGCTTCTGGAGGGCTACCTTCCTGCAGACTCCAGTTACAGCCCTGCTCCAACACACCTGTCTGTAATCTTTCAGTAATCCTGAACACCTTAATTAGCTGGTTTAGTTATTTTTGATTAAGGATGGAGCTAAACTCTTTAAAATGGTTGGCTACCCCGGTATAGAGTAAAGGACCATAGTTGTTTAAGCTTTATATTTTTGTCAAATTTGGTAACTTGCTCTTGCTGCTTTCTTGATGTTCACCTTCCCAAAGCAACTCCTTACTACAGGGGTATCCAATTGTAACCCTGGAGAGAAACTGTCCTGCAGAGTTTAGCTCCAACCCTAATTCTGTCATGACAACTCTCAGAGGGATTGGCATGGTAATGTACATGACAATGTTAATGTATTTGGTCTTGTGTATTACTATCTATGTGTGCCTTGGCTATCACGCAGACCGGCTTAACACTAGTGGCCTATGCCTATGTGAGCCTTGGCTACCATGCTGACCAGCTTAACATTAGTGGCCTATGACTATGTGAGCCTTGGCTACCACGCCGACCGGCTTAACAAAAGTGGGATATGACTATGTGAGCCTGGGCTACGCCGACTGGCTTAACTCTAATTAGATGCGCACTGTGTGTAATGTTTAATTAACAAAATGGATATCTATCGTTGCAATCCGATAGATAAAGAAAGTGAAAGTGACGTGACATGTGGCCAAGTATGGTGACCCATACTCGGAATTAGTGCTCTGCTACACATTTCTCCGATCTACACTACCCATAATGCATTTCACATCGGACTAACTGTTACAGCAGTAGATAGTGATCTTCAGCGTCTCCCACAACACTGTCATTGATATGACTGCGATAAGCACGTGCTTCTGACGCTGTGTGCAGCTGAAATCAGCCACACACTCATCACAATGAAAACATCGACCTTAGAAATAACGAACGTGAACACTGGGATAATCGCCGATGTATATGGAGAACCCCAGTTGAAATGCATACACAAGAATGCTTATTTGATTTAACCTGTTTCATGTCCATTACTATAGGCGTGTCCTCAGAGCGATTACATATGCTCTAAACTGTGCTTTGCTCCGACTGTATAAACACAGCTGCTAAATGCTGCTGCTAATATGCTTAATATTCGCTCCTGCATACAATGCAAAACTGCTAACATGACATTTAGTTTAAACTTGATTATGGTTGCTAATTTTTTTATTCAATTATGCATAGGGATGCACCGATACCACTTTTTCCAGTACTCGCCCGATACCGATACTTTTATTTTTGGTACTTGCCGATACCGAGTACCGATACCAATATTTTTATTGCATTTGTACATTTTTTAAATATTGGGTACAGAAACCAAAATAGTATGTATAATGTTAGTTGGTTAACTTCATTTATCAAATAGATACAGTCAAACCAAAATATATTCAGACACCTTCAACATTTCTCACATTATCACAGTTTACTCGCTATAGTTTAGAAAATGGTAATAAAATATGGCAAGAACTTAAGAGTTAAACTGTGTCAGAACAAAAATTAGACAGTGACAGTATTTACACAACTATCAATACTTAGTCGGGCAGCCATTAGCCTTAATGACAGCCATGACAGCCT